ATCCAGCTATGGATTACAAAAAGGGTCCCTGGGGGTTGGGGACTTTTTGGGGATTTCCAAAGCAGGACTTTCCAGATAGGAGTCAAAGCGGGAGTTTTCAAGGAGGAGGCACGACGGACCATTACCTGATGTGTCTTGCAACTGGTATAAGACTCCCTTTTGCAAACAGCGGTGTTAACTCCCCTATTTTCAAGGTTATGTTCCCACAACTGGTGCCAAACAGTACTGTTCTATTTTTGTGTGTTTCACCACGGACCATTATCTAGTGTCACTGACACAAATATGAAAAAAAATAATTGTCTGAGAAGGGTGCGATCTGAAGGAGAGAAAACGTCAATGCTAATGCCTAAACCCAAGACTTGTGTGGTTAGTCAATTTTCTCCAGATGTTGTTACCATTTGCTAAGCTTCACCAAGCACTACTGATCAGTTTATTGAATAAATGTTTCATTAAGGAAGCCAATAAAGCACACAAGTGCCTGTATTTTTAAATTGTGTTCATCAAATCTGAATGAAATTGAGCCTTTTAGCAGATCCCTACAGTCACCATAGGTTTATAAATCACTGTCTGCTGCTCTGCCAGAAAGGATACAGCATTTTTGAGACACTTCTTGCTCTTAACAGTAATAATGCCAGAGTTGTTCCACTATTTCCCTTCCTGCAGGCAAATGTGTGAAGATGGTATGTATGTAGAAACATCTGCCTTACACTTCTGGAGGTAAAATGTAGGTAAAGATTTCACTAGCTTTTACACAAGTCACCAAAAATAATATTTCTATCTGTAGAATTAAAATAATTCTGACAAATAAAACCACTATACTGTAGAGATTACATCTACCTTAACATAGTAGATATAACTGAAGGGCCCGTAAGAGATGTTGTTTGCTGCCTAGGAACACAAGAGGTTCCACTTAAACTTGAGAAGAAACTTCTTCTCAGTGAGGGTGACAGAACACTGGAACAGGCTGCCCAGGGAGGTTGTGGAGTCTCCTTCTCTGGAGACATTCAAAACCCGCCTGGACACGTTCCTGTGTAACCTTATCTAGGTGTTCCTGCTCCAGCAGGGGGATCGGACTAGATGATCTTTTGAGGTCCCTTCCAATCTCTAGCACACTGTGATACTGTGATACTGTGAATAATGGCATTCCTGCACTATGCTTTTTGTGAGCTTTACACAGGAACAGGCAGGAGTGTTGAGTACATTCCTCATGTGACAGAGACCAGCAGGATGTACAGTAAGAATAAGGCTGTCTTGTAGCCTTCCAGGTTCTCTGTGATAAATCTCCATTGTCAAAGATGCTGTCAGAAGTCAGAAACCCCAAAGGAGATAATACAGTGGCTTGCGTGTAGATACGTAGCTATATAATCATAGACAACGTTTTTGAAAAAGAAAGCAAGCATATATTTTTTTGTGTTATAGTCATTAATAGTGTAGTGTAACTATATGCCAATACTACAATAGGCCTAATGCATGCTAATGGAGTGGTCAGGAAAAGACATGGCACTCTGTCAAAGGAGGCCAGAGCTTGATATTGAAAATCCATTTTAAATATTGTATTTAGTATTCATCATCAGAAAAAGATTTAGCAGAAACTGCATCCCAAAGTGGCAATCAAAGTGATTAGAAGTGTGAAAAGATTTCAATTTGAAGGAGGAGAAAAGATTAAGCCTTTTTGACTAGTGGGTAGGTAAGTAATGGGAGACATAAGGGAATCAGAAATTAAAAGCCCAGTCCATCTAAGAGTGGAGTCATTGGGAAGCCTTTCACTAGCTTCAGCAGAGGCTGCAGTAGGTCCTCTGTCAGTTAATCCTGGTTGTTATTTTATGGTGTAGGAAAAGGGAAAATACAAAATGAAATGTACAATGAAACTATATTTCACATGTGAAGTACAGTGTATCTGTTGTACTCCCTACCGCTGGACATTGCCAAGGAACACAAGGAAAACAAGGGTGATATTTACACTTCTCCCAGGTACCAGAGCAGATCCAGGCACTGCTTCTGAGAACGTGCACCCGAATCTTGCAGAGCCAGGAGGAGAAAGTGATGCTCAGGGGTCGATAGAGCTCAAAGGATGAGACTACCTCTCCATGCCATTACAGGGTAGCATGGGGCAGAGCTGAAGAAACATCTTTCCAGCCACCCCTTTTTCCAGAACCAGGGGTTTGCCCAACTCAACAGCTCCCCTGCTGCTGCAAAGGATGTCCCGGCTCTTGTGGAGATACTCAGAAGTTTTTCAGCTTGCCACATGCCGGAAAACGTAGAAGACTTACCATTCCTCATGTTGATCCACTCAGCAGCTTGAGTTCAACAAGAGACATCTTTAGTATGCATACAGGTATCCTGTTAATCGTTTTGAAGTGATTTCTCTAGGGGTAGTCTAGAGGTAAAGAAGTTTAAATGCTTGTCCTAAGTATGTGCCTTCTCCTCTATTAAGTTTCCTCTAGTGCTCTACGTGTGATAATTACTGTTTCTAAACTGCTAATTAAGCTTCTAGAGACGGAGATGCCTGATTATAGTGAGTTTCAAAACACTAGTGCACTGGGAGTGGGATTTTCTCCTTGAACTGTGCCTGAAGATCAGCACTTCAGGGTTGTACACTTAACATAATGTTATCAATCCTGCATGCTTTTCAAAACCATTTTTCAAGAAACACTTCTGATGAGATGATTTTGCCATCATGTGATGCTGATATGGAGTTGGTTATAACGAGTATCATCGTGGCTAGGATTTTAGTGTTAATCTTTTGTTGTTCTTCACTATGAATTAGTCTACCTTTAAAATCTCTTTCTGAGAACATGAAACAGTTTTTGGTCCCTGAAGGCCCTCACCTCACCCCAGCACAACCAGATAATACCACCCTCACGTTGTTCTCCCTCTTTTCAGCCTTCTACAAATGCCCCGCATGATGCTGGGAGCAGCAGAAAGAGGACAGAGTAGGAGACAAGTTGAGAATGCCTTCTTCCAGCAGATTTCTTCATTTTCAGAGCAGACAGTAGAGCCTAAATGATGCGCAAGCCCAGGGCTATGATTCTTCTTCTGGATGCCCTTTTCACACAGGCAGGGGTCTGCCAGGAGCAGGGTGATAACTTGTAACAGAAGCAGCACCACACTGCCCCCAGCTCTCTTACCCTGGCTCACTTGCAGGAGAGGGTTAAAGGCTGAAAACACAGTGCCAGAGGATGAATTTTGTGATTTTCCCCACATATACCTTATTCTCTCCCAAGAAAAAGAAAAATCCACTGGAGTAAGCAGGTAAAACCTTAGATTGATTTTTTTTCATGGATTATTTTCAACATTAATTTGAAGATACATTTCCTCATGTCAGATGGACCTTTTAATCGTTGGTCAAAAAGACAGTACTTGGGAATAATTAGGGCTGGGGAGTGTGAGAGAGGTTCAAAGGACTTGACCTTCCTGACAGAATAAAGTAACAGCTACACAAGGCCCATAAATCAGTACTGAAACCAAGCATGCTACACTGGCTTACAACTGCGGGCCATTTTACCCAGCATTTTGGGAAAATACTTAAATGTGTTTTGCCAAGAGAGCTACGAAGGGGGGGGCACTGCAAAGGAAGGAATGAACAACAAAAAATGGAAGGAGAGAAAAAATAAATACCAACAAAAGATTTTTTATCTAAGACAGGCTGGCATGGTGATTGAAGGTGATTAATTAAAATCTGGGTTTCTGGGAGTTATCTACCAGATCTGAGCCTCTTTTATCTGATAAATTCCTTTCCTTTACTACCAATGCTGTCTATTGGCAAATTTTTTTTTTCAAGCTTTTGTTCAGGGACAAACTGTGACCTGTTGACCAGTCAAAGACGCAGGGAGAAGACGCAATTCCTTTGAAATTAAGCAACCCACCTGGTCCGAGCTTTACTCTCAGCAGCTAATATATAACTGAAATTTCCTTTCATACATTAAACTCAGGCTGTTGCATAAACTAAGGGATACACACTGCAGGGTAGTTAAAAACATGAGAAGTTGTTTTTCTTTGTTGACAGTTTCTGGCATACATTTGGAAAAACACTCAGCTGTGCATTGATCAACAAAGCAATGGCTTGGTGGTTCGGGGTTTTGTTGCTGTCACAGGTGTGGAATCGCTAACTCCTTTAAAAAATATATTTCATTATGTGTTTCTGTGTCAGCCTTTCCCTCTAAGCTGCCGGCAGCAGGAAGCCCTTTATGAGCAGAAACACCTGTGGATGTTTCTCATTTTTGTGTGCATACTTCAACATTTCAAAGGGCATTCCTTGGCTTGCAGCCCTTCATGCAAAGTCATAGCTCACCCACTTGGTTTGTGAGACCATGGGGTAAATATTTTGGCTTGGGGGCCTGTTTGCGGGAACTCTCACACAGGGTTAGTTGCAGCTGCATTTAAACAACTATAAAAAAGGACTCCTGAAAACCACTTCAGATGGAGCATGGTTCTGGCCTGGTCATGGAAAACCCTTAATACCGAGCAGCAGAGAACTGTGCCCGGGGTTTCTGGCCAGTGCCGGGGTCATGCTGTGGCTCCTGGGGGCAAACAGCGCAGGACGGGCACAGGCCACCATGCTGGAAGCACTCAGGTGTTAACCAACATCACAGCCCCCAGCATGGCCAGCATCACCTTCACCGGAGCGCGTCCCACACACCGGTTCTGCTCTTGGGCTTACAAACCAACCGCGGTTCTGATACCAGTTCTCAGACAACCCCTCGAACGCAGCGCCTGACCAAGGCGGTGGGAGAACGACGAGCGCAACCTCTCACAGCCCTCCGGGGCTCCCCCCGCAGCCAGGCCCGGCCGTGCAGGGCCGAGGCGGACAAAGCCGGCGAGAGGCGGGGAAGAGTGAAGAGCCGCACCGCGACGGGGCGGCCCCACCGCCGCAACACACGGCGCCTTCGGGCCAGCCCGGGGGCGGCCCCGGCACGGCAGGGGGCAGCGGGCCCGGCCCGGCCCCGACGGCCCGCCCGCTACACTCCCCACCCCGGCCCGCCGCCGCCCCCGGCCCGCCTTCGCGCTGGGGCGGCCGGCGGCTCCGAGCCCGCCGCCGGCATGGAGGCAGCGGGGCAGCGCGGCCCAGCTGAGGGGCGCCCCGCCTGGAGGGTGCTGCACCCCCCGCTCCTCCTCCTCCTCCTCCTAGCAGGTCAGCGGCCCCGGGCGGGTGCGTGGGGCAGGGGGAGCCGCGAAGCCGCAGGCAGAGGGTGCGAGAGGTGCTGGGAGGGCTGCGAGGGCCGGGGCACAGCGGGTTACGGCAGGCGCAGGGTCTTCACCTGGTTGCTGGAGGTGGAATTGGCAGCAGAGGTGGAAGGCGCTGTTCGGGGTGTCCCAGCAGAGCTCTCTCGGGCAGAGAGTGCTGTGTGCGAGCCCTTCTCGGGCTGGAGGGAGGTTAAATGCGTGTCCTACGGGAGAGATGAGGTGTGGTGTCCTGCCCCGCACCCCTCGGTAGCGCTGGGTGTTGTGAGAGAGCAGGAGCCCCAGGAGGCGGCTGGTCCAGGAGCTGTGCTTACCGATCATGTTGCTGGCACAGCTGTAGGTGCGTGTGCCGAAAAAGTGGGTAATGGTGCAAACGGCTGAAGCTGCTGTCAAGGGGGTCCTGCGGGGTAATGGTGTGAAGGGCATGCCACCGAGCGTCCCTCGTTCAGGCATGGAGGTTACCTCATAGTAGAGCCCATGCCAGTTGCTGGCTTCCTCTCTCCTCTTTGTGGAGGCAAGAAGTCCATCTGGCTGCAGTTCACTTGACCGAGGGGCTGGCCTTCAACTGATGGGTCACTTGTTCCATGTTTTGTGCTTGTGAGTTTCCTCAGCACAAGGGTACAGGCTGAGGGCACAGCTGCATGAGCTGCCCCTTGTGATGTGTTGGGTAGCCTTCTCCAGCCCTCACCCTTGGTGCTTGTTTTCAAGCAGAGACCAAGCATGAGCAGGTTCGGAGAGCTGACCTGTGGAAATGTAGCAAGCAGGATTAAGGTTTTGGGATGGATCATCAGCATGAGCCATTCACTGGGCAGTCAGTGCGCAAAGGAGCCTTGGTGCAAGGGGGGAACTTACGGACAGAGGTGGGACGGGAACAGGACTGTGTCAACAGCTGATATGAGGCAGGGTTGCCCAGATCCCAGCACGTGGAAAGTTGGGTCAGCAAGTATAAAAGTCAGTAATGGAATGGGAGTGGGAACCACTTAGCATGATCTGCTGCTTAGGGAACAGGAATGCTTCCGCATTGTTTGCCATCTTCGTTTTTCGGGTCTGTGCTCTGCCAGTGTGTGACCAAAGAGGTCACCAGGGGTGGCGGTGTGTGGGGCAGGGAGTCCATTTGGATTCATCCAGGCTGCAGCTGAGGACCTGGCAGTGGGGAAGAAAGCTGGGAAGCACAGGATCCCTGAGGGAGTTTTTACAGTGCAGTGTCAGTACCCAGATACTGTAGGGTGTTATTTACCTGACTTAGGGCTTTGAAAACACTGAATTGCGACAGCACAAGAGGCCGATAGCTTTAAAATAGCTTTTCACAGCAATAAAAGGATACGTGTTCTTCCACATTTCTTAATTGTAAAGAGCTCTCTTGTGTCACAGCGTGTGCTGTTCCTCAGTCTGACACAGCATTGCTGCTGGAAACATTTGCGGCCCTGGCTGGGCAAGACAAAGCCTTCGGCAGTGGGGCTGATGGGCACCACCGTGCCACGCTGGCCATGACCATGGAGCTGGAGCAGAGTGAGGGGATTGCCACCACCTGGCAGGGGATGAGGGAGCCCCAGGCAGCTCTAACCTGCACCCAGGCTAGGGCTGGGCAGGGACTGGGGGGAGGTAGCCAGTTCCCAGGCAGCTTCCTTCTCTTCTGCCACCCAGCAGCTGAGCAAGACAGGCAGCGTGGCCTCAGGTTTCCCTCTGGACTCCTTGCTGGAATGGAAGGAGGTGGTCTGTGGTGTCTTTAGGTTTAAAAAAATGCCTTTTTATTTTATTTTAAAGTATTAAGCATGAGAATAAACTGATATGGCCTGATATAAAATACCCATGCACAAAGCATCTAACTCTGAAATGCAGAATGAGTGGGAATGGGCTGCCACTAGGATTACAGGGTCAGACTGTGCCTTGAGTGAAGTCCTGTGATTGTGTAAAACTGTTAGATTGCATTTTCTTCAAAGCTGAGCTGTACAGCATTTTGTTGTTGCTGCTGTTTGACTGCGTGAATGTTATTTTTATTCAGCAGAAGATTGCCTGGCTCAGTGTGATAATGACTGCAAAGCTTACTGCTGTGATGGGACTGCTCCCTACTGCTGTTCATATTATGCCTACATTGGGAATGTCCTTTCGTAAGTATATCTGCACTTTGAAAAGGAATGATGTGCTGTGTTCATGAACACTAAACTCAGGGGGCAGGAAACTCTGTTTTGGCAGTAAACGGTGGCAGGGTTTGGGGTTTTGGGATTTTGGTTTGGTGTGTTATTTTTCTTGCTGGTAACAAACACTGGTATTCCTCTGAAGTCTCATGTTACATATATTTTTGAAGCATACCAGAAAATATGCTTAAGTATGCTAAAATTGAGGGTTATGTATTTAGCCTGTGTACAATAATATAATTTGTGGGCGTAAGCTTTAGAGGTAGTGAGAACTTTGTTTTGAGCTCTTCAGATGAAAAGGACTGTGAATAGAAATCTTGTGGGGTTTGTTGAAATGCTTTGTTACACTACCTGAGTCAAACCACTTGAATTTGAGACCTTTTGCTTTGAGTAAAAACCCCCTTTTCTTTTTAATGACTTGTTTGTTTTTATTAAGTGGTGTTTTGGCTTTTCCTGGAATTTACGGAGTAGATTCTAGGTGAGGGTAATCTGACCCTTTAACACTATGGTATGAATAGCATGTTTCACAGTGCTTAAAAAAGACCACAGCAGGTGAAGTGGGGTAGTTGTGAATATTTCTCATCTAGAGAAAAATATAGGAGTAACTTGTTGATTAAAAACATAAGCTCTAGTGAAGCTGTTCAGCTATACATCAGTGAGGAAGAAAATAAGTTTGAGTGCTAGTGAACCTGACTCTAGGCTTTGGGCTTAATTTAAGTGAAAACCCTCAAGTATTATGTTCATGTGTGAGGACAAATCTAAATGAAACATAAAATCGTAGTCATAGAATGATTTGGGTTGGAAGGGACCTTAAAGATCATCTAGTTCCAGCCCCCTGCCATGGGCAGGGACACCTTCAATTAGACTAGGTTGCTCAAAGCCCCATCCATCCAAGAACATTCCTGGCCTTGAACACTGCCAGGGATGGCGTATTCACAGCTACTTGTGTAACCTGTTCTGCTGCATCACCAGCCTCATAGTGAAGAATTCCTAATCTAAATCTGTTGTTCTTCAGGACGGGGTATCTTACTTTCTGTTTCATCAACCTCACCTTCAGGGTAGGGCATCTTACCTTCTCTTTCATCAACCCCACCAGTAAGCTCCTTAACTTTTAACATGTGTTCTATAATGTATTTTTGGTTTATATTCTTGACTAAACCAGAAAAGGAAAAGGAGGCTCGTCATACAGACTGCTTGGTGCTTTGGGAGGAGTGAGTGGGAAGGTGATAGTTGCTTTCTCTAAAAAGACTCCTCTCTTGCAGTTTTTGTTTCAGCCATGGTACCTGGGGAGCATGCCAGTGTTCCTTCCCTTCAGCATATTTTATAGCACTTTGAGGGAGTAGGCAGAGTGATGGTGTTTTAATACAGAATCAATCCACAGTTTTTAAAGCAGATCAGACACTTCCTGGACTAAAGTAAATAAAATTATAATAGAGCACTAGAATCCTTCATTGCTCTGGGAAGAAAAAAACATGTACTTAAGATTGATTACTGTTGGGGAATGACAACAAATCTTTTTTCCTGCTTACCTAGGGAACGTCTGCTTTGATTTATTTGGTGGTGTTTTTTTCTTTTCTCATTCCAAAATTGCTTTCCCATTTACATGTGTGGAAGGAGGTGCTGGTTTAGGGTACTTTATTCCAGCTCGTGTATGGTTAGACACAACAGACACAGTAGCCTAGGATATCACATTATAAGAAAGAGGTATCCCATAGAGTGCATGGATTTCATCTCCCACTTCCATGTGAGCATCAGTGGCATTTGTCCAGCCTAATGACAGAGCTGTGCTTTGAGAAGGATCGACCAGGGAATTCTTTAGAGCAACTGCTGAAATGTTCAAACCGTGCCTTCAGCACCAGGTCAACACAGAATCTTTTGTATGTTTATTTAACAAATGTAAACAGCTATTAAATTAGAGCTGAGTGCCAGTGGCTTTGACACACTGGAAGCATTTGTGTGTGTTTGGATGGGTTTAAATACTGGAGGGGCTCTTAAAAGTGCCATTTGCCACAACATGTCTCAAAGGAGACATTTGATTCTTCTAATTTTTTATGGTTAAGCACTCCAGTTCATAGACTGGAAGACCAGGAGTCATTATACTCTTCTGAGCTGACGTTTTGTGTGATTGAGCAAAGATTATTTTTTTTGTCCCCTAAAATCTGTTTTGGGGGTGTCTTTTTTAAATGTGTGTAATCTCCCTGAAAACTTCAGGCATTAATGAGTTGACCATCTCTCCTGGTAAACTGTTCGGTAGTTCATTTACTAACATTGCTGAGAAATTTTGCTGGGAAATGCATGTTGGAATCCTACTGTCAACTCTTAACTTACCTGCAAATTTGAAATGTGGCCCTAAGTAGTCATCATGACAGCTCTAAACCTTATTGCTGAGACGGATGAACTCTTGTCAGCCTCACATGCAAGATTTGCTTTGTTTTGCTTTGCCCTGCTCTGGGGTCAATACTTTGGCCTTCCTTTGAGCTCCCTCTAGTATTTGTTGAAGCATGGCTAGTAGGGCTGAGCATGCGGTTTTGACAGAAGCCTTGCCAGGATTATTTTTTTTCCTGTATCTTTCTTTGAGTACCTATTCTGAAGCAGCTATCTGTGATCATCACAGAAGACATAAACAACCTTAGCAATTCGTTCCAGCTCTAAGTCTTTAAGCCAAGGTCTTCAAAGCATGTCTACTGCTTTAAGCCTGCAAACTGTTCTTTGCTAGGCTTACTACCTTGCATTTATAGCCTTGCAAAAGACGTTATTGTGACTTTTAAGTATGATCCATAAGAATAACCTTCCCTTTTCATTATTTGGCATTATATTGGTCTTTTATGTGCAAGCTTTTCACACAGAAGTTTCATGTTGCCTCACCCTCAAATGACAAACCAATGAAATTGCATTAGAAGGAGACACAATCCCTGGAATTGGGAAATGGCCACTAGCTACTTACCTGCCTATGTCTTTCTGTTAACAACTGTGTATTGAAATCTTTTAAAGAATGATTTTTAATCCAACAAATTACGTGTTCTGCTAGTTCCATGGAATGCTGTTCTTTAAATACCCTTCTTTTCCTGTGTCACCATTTTTGATCCTACTGTCTACACCAAACAGTGCACTTGATCTTGCATGAGTGCTTTCAGAAGTGTCTTTTTACTGTCTTAAACACCATTAGTAGTCCTCAGTGTTGTTTTGGCTCCTCTCCTTCTTTAGAGATTGTCTGTGCTTCATGTGTTTACCACTAATTTCTGTGCTCTGTCTATTCTTTATAAATCTGTATGTCGTTCTGAAGTTTCTGTTCTTTATCTTTTCTGGGTTGATTTTTATTTCACAAGCATAACTCTCTGTTGCCGTTTTGGAAAAGCCTCTTGGCATGCAATAGGTTCTTTTTAAACAATTTTCTGTTTTGTTTCATGCTTCTCACTCTTCTTTCTCTAGACCCATATGCCAGCAATTGTGCAGACAGGCTATAAACACCAGGCAGTGATGTATATACTGATTTTAAAACAAAATCAGTGTGACTAGATCATGCTCATTGATACTTATGTTGCTTGTAGCTTTTAGGTGATTAATTTAACTCTCTTCACTCATTAAAATGAGATCAACATTGAATTATTCCATGTAAGGGTTTAGAATTTCCTATTTTAGGAAATCGTCATCTTTTTAGGACACCAGGGAAATTTTTTTCTTCAGTCAGATGAGGTTTTCAGCAAACATCCTCCTGGCTGTGTGCATCTCTGATTAGCCTGTTTTTCTTTCCACACATGAAGAACAGATGCAGAGTTATAAGCTTACTCTAGTATTAGGATTTCAGGGCCTGTGAGAGAAGTTCCAGTAACTCCGTCTTTAGTTGGACTACAGGTATAATCTGTAAGGCTTCAAGGTCTGTGATTGAATCATCTGTAGTCCCATGAGCATCTCTAATGTAAAGTAATACATCCTTCCTCCTCCTCTGCCTGCTTCATGATGCCCTTTCAGAGCAAGTTGTTACAGCATTAATGTTCCAGCTATATTTCCCTTCCTACTAGTTTTCAATAGCTACAGCCTGGCATTATTTCTTCTGATGCATATGTATTTCCTCCTGTTTATTTGCTTGGCATCTACTGCTTAATAGTTCGCCCTTCTAAAAAGGGTTTGGTTTGTGTTGGGGTTTTTTTGACAAATTACGTATTTATTTTTGAACTTGTGCAACATAATAGAGATGTGTCTGTAGGATGAAGGAAAGGTGCAGGGATCCTTGGGTGCTCAAACTGTTCCTCCTGCCCACCTTTTCATTCCCCACCAGAAGAAACCTTGGAGGCATCCTTCCCAGCCTTCAGCGTCATCCCAGATCTTAGAGTCAGGAAACTGAGACTGCCCTTCAGAAGGTAGTTTCTAAGCAATTGGACTCATTTGTGACTGACCTTTTATCAGTTTCTCTGTGCTCCGTCTGCTTCTGCAGCTCGCTACCAGGCTAGGGACTGCGACAACTGCAGTGTTATTTCTTGTGACGGGTGCTCCAGGTTTGCCCACAACAGTATCTTCCTAACTATCAAACCAGCAGCATTTTGACTGAGGAGTTGGAGACATCTGGTTATTGCCTTCAGCTCCAGCCTCAAACCCCAGTGCTCCTCAGAGGTGGGAGTTGGTATGAAAGCGGTTTCTTCTGCAGAACCCAAATTTGAATTTGTGCTTCTGACAGCACTTTTTGTTTTTGCTTCTGAGAGGCCCCAAATTGTCTGGCCCTTATGCTTTCCCTGGTGGATTTTCTGTCAGCTCATTTCCAACTTTTTTTGTCTTCTCCATGTTGTGCCTTGTGTTTATCATGGCTCATAGGTAATTTCTGAGCCACAGAGACTCTCTGGGCAGAGATGCCAGTAGATGCATGCTGTCAGGAGTGGTTCTGGATGCTGTCTTTGCTCTTGCACAGCAACTTCATGGCCAAAAGCTGTGAGTTGATGTGAAATAAACCCAGATTCCAAGTTAAATAGTGGAGTAAAAAG